CAGGTACAGAGGGGAGGACAGGGCAGGTACAGAGGGGAGGACAGGGCAGGTGCAGGGAAGACAGGGCAGCTGCAGGGGGCAGGACAGGGCCGGTGTGGGGGGGGACAGGGCAGGCGCGGGGGGCACAGGACAGGTGCAGAGCAGGTGAGTTGTCAGCTGAGCTGTGGAAACAGGTTGCTCTGGATTATCTCCCGAGAGTGAAAGGCTATTGGGGTTGGAGTCTTATTTCTCCTGGCATACATCTTTAGTCCTCTGTCCGGCTTTGAATGTTCGCCATAAATGGCCCTGGTTTACCTAGCCAACACATTCCTGTCTCAGTTTCTCAGTGCCACCATCACAGAAATACCACCAGTGGGTGGGTGGCTTTAACGAACAGACATTTATTCTCTCACAGTTGGGAGGCAGGAGTCCGGATTCAGGGCACCAGCTCTAGGGGAAAGCTCTCTCTGTCGGCTCTGGGGAAGGTCCTCCTCCTTGGTTCCTTGGTGATCTTCCCGAGGTGTGGCCTCCGTCTTCCCCATCTCTGCTTGCTTGTTTGATCCTCTCTTTTATATCTCAAAAGAGACTGATTTAAGACCCACCCTGCCCACTACTCCTGCCTCATTAATATCAACAGAGAAAACCCATTCCCAAATGGGATTATAACCACAGGTATAGGGGTTAGGATTACAACGCTCATTTGGGGGACACAGTTCAATCCACAACGAGTCCCTAACAGGAACCTTCCACCTCCGTGACTCTGTCCTGGTCACCATCCTCGGACGCTCCCAGCTCTCCCTCACCTCTGTCTCCTTGGGTGTGCCGCTCTTCCTCCTGGTGAGCCACAGCCTCCCCACCTTCAAGGCCAGCTCAAGAACCATCTCCGCGTGGAGGAGACCCGCTCTTCCCTGACCTTAGTCCTCCTCGCCGACTCCCCTGGCTGGGACCACTAAGAGCAGGCAGGATGCCCCTGACCACCGACCTCACTCTCCTACGGCAGTGTACTGATGACCGCTTTCCCCCTGTGAGTCTTGGGCGGGCACCTTCTCTTAAACTTCTAAGCAAGTGCTAACAGTCTTCTAAGTAGCGGTGAACACTGTTGCTCTCGATCAGTGAATAAAAGGTGACAACAGTTGGTATTTATGGCAAGATTTCACACACGTTCTCAAAGGACTGGTGTTCACATGTCTTAAATCCTCACAATAAAATTACCAATGAAATATGAGTTTCATTTTAACAACAATAAGAACAAAATAATCTGAGGTGTTGAAGATGTTAAGTGACTCAGGCTAACTCATAAAAATTAAGTAAACTTAACCAAAAAAATGAAACTCATTGCTGTCGAGTAAATTCCAACTCAGAGCAACCCTATAGGACAGGGCAGAAGTGCTGCATAGGGTATCCAAGGAGCAGCTGGTGGATTCGAACTGCCGACCTTTTGGTTAGCAGCCATAGCTCTTAACCACTGCGCCACCAGGGCTCCAATCAAACCTAGGAAAGCTTTTTCTATAAAACTGACATATTTATTTAGTTACGTAAGAAATGCTTTGTCACACAACCTGGGTCCACCCAGCCAAGTCATTTAACAAAACAATGTACTCAGAGTGTCTTTATTACTTTAAAGAGTTAACAAGTAATAGATACTCGTTGCAGAAACATTAGAAAATAAATCACGTCCCCCTGGTGGCCCATAAGCCCACTCTCCACAGAGACGCCTCCTTCTGAAGCCCACAGCTACCAACAGATGACTATCTTTTCACAGTTTTCTCTGAATAGATGGAGACCTCCTTTCTTTGAACAGAAAAAGTGTGTGTGTGTGTGGGTGTGTGTGTATCTCTGTAACAGGCTTTTTGACTTAATGGAGGGGCGGTGAATATATCTGCATGGCAAATACACATCTGTGTCACCATTAATGACTGCATGCCTATGTAAATGGGTCCATGTTTTTTCTATCACATAGAAACAAATCTCTGTAACGAGCTTTCCTCTCTTTACGCTCTTGTCCATTATTTCCTTAGGATGAATTCCTAGAAGCAGAACTTACAGGTCAAGTGGTAAGCGCCTATTATATTGGTTTTAATTTAAACAATTAATAATTTTTTTAAATGAAATGCTGTCGTTGTTAGGTGCCATGGAGTCGGTTCTGACTCCTAGCGACCCCATGTACAACAGAACGAAACACTGGCTGGTCCTCCGCCATCCTCACAATCGTTATGCTTGAGCCCATTGTTGCAGCCACTGTGTCAATCCATCTTGTTGAGGGTCCTCCTCTTTTTCGCTGACCCTCTACTTTACCAAGCGTGATGTCCTTCTCCAGGGCCTGGCCCCTCCTGATAACATGTCCAAAGTACGTGAGATGAAGGAAATAGAAAAGTGATAAAGCAGATTCAGGAGACACACAATTTTTTTAGCACTCTGATGTACTTAATTTTTTTTAAAACCAGAAAAAACTCCAACTGTTTTTTTTTTTTTAAATAAATCCAAAGAATTTAAAGAGAAGATTTCCACATCCCAGCCACTTCAAAGTATGAAAACATACGGGCGAAAAGCACAGAAATCTAACATTGATTGGCAAAACACGAGATGTGCTAATTTCAAAAATATTTTCGTTAGTTCTTTAACCAATAAGAAACAAAGGTTAGAGGGTGAGCAGAAAAGGATGAGAAGCCCACATCTGGAAAGACCTACGTCTTCCGCATTTTAAAGAAAGTACCTAAGTTTTTATTTTCCTGATTCAAGAAATACATGTTCATTAGAGAAAAGTTAGAAAGTTACCTCAAAGAAAATAGATAACATGTGAATTTCCCAGGATCTGACAATACAGAAGTTAACCATACGGTTGACTCTTTTCTGTATGTGTGTGTTTTTTAACAATTTGCCATGGCCCTTCTACCACCCACCCTACCGCCTGAACAGTGGGACCGTGGCCTGGGACTTCAGCGCACCAGGCCATGTCCTCCAGGCTGAGGACCTCCCTCCCCCCCTGCTGAGCTGGGCCCTAGGCCTTCCATATTTACATAACCCACCCCACCCCAAAGCAGCGCCTGGGCCTCCCTGCTCCCCAGAACTGCCAACATGGCACCAAGGTTGACCTCACAGAGCCATCTTCCAGCTGCTTCTTCACTTCACAACACTTTCAAGATTTATCTCTATTAACCAACTTCTTAAGCATTAACTAATACCTTTCAAAATTTATGTAGCCTTCGCAAGTTTAAAAAGTTCTTTCACACGCGCTTAACCTTCACAATGGCCCTGGAGGTAGACAGAGCAGATGGCCCCACTTGACAGGAGAGGAAACTGAGGTGCAAAGGGCTGAGCGAAGATCACCATCGGTGAGTGGCTGCGCGTGGACTCCAAGGTCAGAGGTCTCTAGCCGTTTAGCAAACCATTTTTCTATCTAAGTCTGACAACTGGAAATTGTCAGAGGAGCTTTCTTAAATCATCTAACCTAATTCCTTCATTGTACTGTCACATAAGGAAAACAGGCCCAGAGATGCTAGGTGACCAGAGACTGTCCAAAGCCGACAGCTAGTTAGTGACCAAGTGGATCTAAAGGCAAAATCTTCAGACTCCCAGCCCAGTGCTCTCCCGGGCTGTCCCTAGAGAGAGGTTCTTCCGTAAGCTGGCCCCTCTGCTGGTGCCTTCTGTCAACCAGGAGTGAAAATCCTAAACGTGCAGAACGTTAGAGCGGGAGGGCCCTAAAGGGCTAGCCAGGCCAACCCACTCACTTTGCAGATGAAACTCGTGAGGTCCAAAGTCAGAGCCAGGACTCTACCCACAAAGCCTTCCGATGGTCGGTCCTATGCACCTTCCACTCGGCTGGTCACTTCCCTTCCGAGCAGTCACACGCAATCTGCTGGTGCCCAGGATGTTTATCTCCTCCTCTCACAGGGAAAGTGAAACCAAACAGGATTTCACATTCAGGCGACACCTGGCTGGTGACAAGGTGATCACCGTGGGTGTCAGAAAAGAAACAAGTTCTGCAGGTTCCAAGCTCCTGCTCTCAGCCTTCCTCCACCTCCCACCTGGTCAGGTCAGAGGCAGGGCCTCCGAGGCATTCCTGTAATCTGTGCAAAGCTGGCAACAGTCTTGCTAAAGGCTTCTGCTCCATAAATCAGCCGGGATCTTAATGAAAACTGGCAGCACTTCACAAGGTGGCCACGTTCCCTGACACCAGGCAGGCTCCGACCCTCCCGTCTCTGTCTGTCTCTGCCTGGGTCCCCTTCAGTTCAGCACCAACATACACTCCTCTGATCTTCTTGGGCGGTCTCCTAGCTCTAGGTCTAGCCTCCCTCCAGCGAGACCGAGAGCTCTCTGAGGGCATGGGGCCACGTCTTCGGTGAACACACACGTGGCCCACACTATCCGTGGCGCGGTCAGCTGTGGCCCCTACGCACAAGAAACTGACAGAAAGCTAAAGAAAACCGCGTGCAGAACCCGGACGCAGTCCTGGAGGAGTAAACAGGGGCCAGGAGCATCTACTGGCCGGCTGGGGCAGCCGCGAGGTGAAGGACAGCTGAGTCTTAAGTATCAGTCAGCCACGGAAGTGGGAGACCGGCCGGGCAGGCAGGGCAGCGACAGCCACGGCCAAGAGCAAACGCGCCGCGTTTACAGGGATCAACAGTTCGATGCTGCCGGCAGGGAGCGGCGGGCGTTCAGGCTGGAGAGGTGGGCCTAATGAGGTGGCCGCAGGCAGCGAGCCCGCAGGATGACCGCGGACCAGCCATGGGACACGCTCCTTACGCAATTCTCAACTAACCGAAATCGGGGCGCCCGGGGCGAGCTCTATCCAGGGCGGTCTGTCGCCGCCCCCTCCCCCGTGCACCTGTGCGCCTTCGCAGCTTGCAAAGCAAACGGAGGGGGTCTTCAAAGCGGGCCCCAAGGCCCCTGGCCACTGGCACTACCATCCTGGCACCCCTGCCCCCGGACCCCCGTCTTTTATCCGCTTCCGTTTAAAACGCCTGTTGACACACTGTGGCGGGTGCCTGCGCGCTAGCGGGTTTTCCCGAGCCCAGGCTGGGGAGGCTGGGGGCGGCGACAACTCCCTTGGCCTAGCTGGCACTAGGCCGGGCACGGCCCCCGGGAAGGGGCTTGCGCAAGGCAGTGCCGAGATCGGTCTCCCAGGGAAAGTACCGCATGGAAACGAACAGGGCGCTCTCCCTCCTCTCCCGCCCCGCGGCGCGCAGCAGCTCTACGCGCAGCGCACTCGGGCCGCGCCGGGCGGGCAGGGAACGCGGGCGCGGGCTCCGGGCAGGGCGCGTTCTGGGCACAGCCAGGCGGGCAGGGAACGTGGGCGCGAGCT